GCTGTTCAGTGCTCAGCGACTGGGCCATGCTCAGGGAGCGCACCTCCACTGTGGGCAGGTACAAACGGCCCGGTGGACCTCGGTGCTCAAAGACGTCGGTCGCATCGACCAAGACACTCAGCGTGCCCCTCGCCGATGAGAGGGCGTTGGCCAGCTCGGCGGCCTTCTGTCGCTGAAATGCCTCCCACTGCGCTTTCAGCTCCTCTGCGGACTTGCAGTGACGCCCAATCAGTGTCCATTCCGCCTGACTTGCGGTGTCGCCCTCGACGCCGGCTGCGCCCACGCTGTCGTAGATGGCCCGTTTCGCCGGGTCGCTCAGGACGTCGTAGATGTGCTTCAGTCGGCCGAAAAGCGTCTCCGCTGCCGCCTTCAGGCTCTCGTCGGTGCTCTCGCGGTGCTTGTCTGGGTGGAAGCGCTTGCTCAGTATNCGCTTCGCCGGGTCGCTCAGGACGTCGTAGATGTGCTTCAGTCGGCCGAAAAGCGTCTCCGCTGCCGCCTTCAGGCTCTCGTCGGTGCTCTCGCGGTGCTTGTCTGGGTGGAAGCGCTTGCTCAGTATCTTGTAGGCATTGCGAATCTCCTCGGCGGTGGCCGTCTTGGAGACGTTCAGGAAGCCGTAGTAGTCATCGCTGGGACTGCCCGGCTGCTCGGACATTTTTTTCTNTAGGCATTGCGAATCTCCTCGGCGGTGGCCGTCTTGGAGACGTTCAGGAAACCGTAGTAGTCATCGCTGGGACTGCCCGGCTGCTCGGACATTTTTTTGCCNGCCGTCTTGGAGACGTTCAGGAAGCCGTAGTAGTCATCGCTGGGACTGCCCGGTTGCTCAGACATTTTTTTGCTGCTGCGAAATAGAACACACACGCTGGTAAGGTGGTGCCAGCAGTGGCTGCCTTATCACTTGTAGCACTCAGTGACTCATTGTTAAATAGAAGAGTTCATTAAGTTCTATTTCTCAAACTTTCATACACTTTCTACTTTTGCTGTAGAAGGCTGGCCGATTATCTCTCCATTTTTTCGTTTCTAAAACTCTACCCGTTTCTACAGAAGATGAATCCGAACGAAGCCCTGAACGCCCACCTACTGGCCACCCTGGAGTGTCCCTACCACGAACGATGCGAACTGACAGGAGCAAGGTGTCCGTTTGCCCATCGCCGGCCTGCGACTGCAACAACAGAGTTGCCCACAGACGACCTCCGTCCCATTCCCTGGTACTACTGCATGGACCACCTGCTCAGCCGATGTCAGTCCATTGAAATGCGCCGATCCAACCTGGTCCGCTGTGAGTTTGGCTTCCACCCTACTAATGCCGACCTGGAAGACCACGACCTTTTCGTCAGCAAGATGGCCTCGATGGTGCTGACGGGGCACTTCGCCAGCGTTCGAATCTCCTCCAAGTGCGCCACCTGCCAGCAGAACCTCTCCGGCGTGTGCGTCCTTCTGGAGCGGTGCTCACACCGGTACTGCATTCGCTGCTACAACCGTGACTTCCAGCCGGACAACACCATCCTGGGACTGGGCGATTTCGTCTGTAGACGATGCCCGGTCACCTCGAAGCGCGTCATGGTCTGGCCGAATGCGGCCATCTCTCAAACCTACCAGCAGCTGCTCTTCTCGCTGCAGAGGCGAGCCTTCGGCCTGATGACTGGCCGTCGCAGCCACGCTCTAGTCCGCGATCAGCTACTAACAGAAGAGGGGGGCGGACTGACCATTCGCTACCAGAAGGACGGGCGGACGCCGCTGAAGAAGTACTTCCTCACCAGCAGAGACTTCAGATCAACTCAGACCAGGCAGCAGTCTCCAGCAGCTTCAGCAGCCCCTTCGAACCAGCAGGCCAGCCCCGTCATCAACGACGAGTGTTCTATCTGCCTGAGGCACATCTCCGCCTCGCCCGGGCGCCTGTGGGCCTACCTGGAGAACTGCCCCCACCGCTTCTGCATTCGCTGTCTGCTCCACTGGCGAGAGCAACGGGCGCTAGTCGATCCGCTCACCCGAGTCAAGTCCATCGAGTTCAACTGCCCCACCTGCCGCACCAAGGCCGCTCGCATCCTCATCTGGCCGTCCTCCATAAACATCGCCTCCTTCCAGAAGGAGCTCTTCTCCTGTCAGAAGAAGTGCTTCGGTCTGTGGGTGTCGCCGCAGACGAGCATCTCCATTCACGAAGCGCCTCGCCTGGTCACTGACAACCTCGTCTTCATCTGCAACAGCATCGTCTGGCTTCCCTCCTACTCCATTGCCCCTGCCGCCAACAATCAAAACTAAAATTGGGGAGAAATTGACAAACTTCTACACAAATAGTCTATATTCTACTACAAATTCTTTAGCTATTTTACCCGATTCTATGTTTCAATACTTTATATAGCTTCATTACAATTTACTGCGATAAGTCGAGCTTTTTAATGGAGTTCATCACAACGCTGAAACTTTTCATCTCGTCTCGTGTCAGTGGATTTAGATTGAATTTAGCAAATTGCTCTCCTTTGTCCTCCATCTCTTGAATTTGCTGTACATTGTCTTTCAGTTGTCGACGCAGCTTCTCAATGTGCTCATTTACTTGCTTCTGATCATCCTGAATTAGTTTTGTCGCCGTTGGAACGCGTTGTTTGAAGAACATATTGCCAACACACAGGTACACGGTCTCCTTTTCTGGGACCCTCTTTAGTGCATTCAATGCTTCGCGGTTTTTGTTTCGAATACGGTCCATTTGTACGAGTTCTTCTTTGTCTCGGAGAGCCTTTTCGCCCAGAACCTCACTTTTCTGCATCAAGTTAAGCACATTGTACAAGTCGGCCGACTGCTCCACTGGATTCTAGTTGAGCAAAGGTAATTTTGTTTGTTAGTGTTTCAACTTTCATTTGAGTTGCCACCTTTTACTTACCATGTTTTATGGAGGAATCGTGTTTATGTTTTGGACAAAAAATAAAAAGCACTTCTGAAAATTCTGCGAGATTTTTTTCAAACAGCTGCAAAAATCCACAAACACCGTTACCAATTTGTTTACAATTTTTCGCCTACTCGTAACAGCTGTCGTAGTCGNGGAATCGTGTTTATGTTTTGGACGAAAAATAAAAAGCACTTCTGAAAATTCTGCGAGATTTTTTTTCAAACAGCTGCAAAAATCCACAAACACCGTTACTGATTTGTTTACAATTTTTTGCCAACTCGTAACAGCTGTCGTAGTCGACATTGCGCATCAATTTGATGATCATTATATCATGTGCTAAGCTTTTACACCTGAAACCAATTGATTCTTTAACTCAATGATTGCTGCATCCTCTAACTTTCAGCAGATGTAATCTTAAAATTGTGAAGATTCATGTATTTTTAATTGTTTTTGTCTACTGACACGTCAACATTTATTGCTAGAGGAAATGTCAGCATCCATTTCCAAGCACAGTGTCGTCAACAACCTTGATGATATAAAGGCAATATTAGTGCCAGAAGATAAAACCAAACAAGAGGCCCTGCGTGATGATGATTGGGATAATCGTTGGAACTGGGACACCTCCGACGTGCTTAGTGACCCTGATGATGATCCGGCAAAGAGGAACTTGTGGCTGGCTGAGTGCAAGATTTCCTTGAGTCCACTAACCGATATGCTGGTTATTGCTCGCCAAAAAGTGCTGACAATATTCAACTTTAAGCGAAGTACCAAAGAAACCTCTTCCACTATTCACGATGAGACAGTTCATGAGTTCAATTTGGTGTACAGCGCATCGTTGCCAGGTTAGAAGTTCAATGCTTAGGCATTTGATTGACTTTGCCATTTATTCACTTCAGGCCTTGAACCTAACGAGACTTTGACTTCCGTTGCACTGTTGCCTTTTGTTGCGCAGCAAAAGAATGTGCTTATCAACTTTCGTGACTGGACGGCCATTTTAGTCGGCTTCTCAACTGGCTTCTTTCGCATCTACGCAGAAAACGGCAAAGTACTTCTTTCGCATATATTCCACGATGAACCCATTCTCGACATCAAGTGTCGCACTCATTCAGCAAACAATCTACTATCTGAACAGCTGGATGAGATTCTCATCATTTACCCGTCTGCTGTGATCCAAATTGATGGCTTCACCTTATATCAAACCCTTCGGATGTGTCGCCAAAACTTGGCCAAATCACAACATGTTGATTCATCGGGCCAAGGGTACTTTTCATCATTTGCCAGCGGTGCAGATCAGAGCAACAGTCAAGCTCCTTTTATCTTCAAGAAGTGGGCCTTCAGTTCGGGCACCTCTGATCAGCAAACTCACGATTGTGTGAATGTTTGTTCCTATGTGAAGAACGACTTTGATGCACTGGTGTCTCGATCCATCGCCAGCTCCCCTAACTCCAAACTGACCAATGACACTGCCAATTTATTTCTCAGCACTGGCATTCACCCATTTGTCGGGTTCTACCGAGCTCAAGAGGTGAGTTGTTTGTGTTTTCGTTTTGTCTTTTACCTTCTGAAATTATTCTTTGTCTAGGGCACAACTCACACTATCATTGAAGAGCTTTCTCACGTGCTGTTTAAACAAGTGAAAAATGTGCTATCCATCTTTAGCTCACAATCAAAACCTAAAGAGGCTGATCCTCGCGAGAACATAAAGCCTGCCACCAGCGTTGACTGCAGTTTGGGCCTTTTTGACGAGCGACTCGGTTTTAAAATTTGCCTTTCACCAAACCGTCGTCTCGCTGCAGTTGTCGACGATTATGGTCGGGTCATTCTGTTTGACGTTGCTAATGCCATTGCAGTTCGCATCTGGAAGGGCTACCGCAAAGCCGAGGTGGGCTGGATTGTCGTGGAAGAGGGCAACAGCTCTAATCCAAAAGAATATTCCAAACAAGCTCTCTTTCTGGCAATCTATGCACCCAAACGTGGTATTCTCGAGATTTGGTGCTCTCAAAACGGCCCACGAGTGACGGCCTTCAAGGTGGGAAAGAACTGCAAGCTACTCTACATGGACCATGTCATGTTTGGACTGAATCATCTCATTTTGCAAAACATCAAACACACAATGGAGCCTGGTGAGTTTACCAAGGCATTCCTTTACTCCAAGTGCTGCTTGTTCAACTACGAAACTGGCGAGCTGCTCAACATTAATGTGCCCTTTCTCTGTGCACTCACTGACAGGTAGGGTTTTAATTAAAAAGTGGTTTTTCTGACTCACAGCATCTTATTCTGTTTACAGAAATAGCAAAAAGACGCGCGATATTCACATTTTAAAAGACCTCAAAGTGCTTCTCAAGAAGCAGGACATTACGTTGCCGGAAGAGAAGCGTCAAAAGTACTATCAACAGGTGGTCACTCTTGTGTTGATGCTGAAGACGGCCGAAATTAGGCGTGAATGTCTGGAAGAGCTGATTCGCTTTGCAAATGACGAACAGCTCATATTTCTGGCAGCACAGCGAATGCACCAAGACCTGCTGCAGTTTATTGACAAGAATGAGCTTGACTTTGAGAACAAACTGGTGGCGCAGATGTGCTCTCGAGTCATGCAGATTTGCCAGTGCTACATCAAAATTAAAAAGGAGCTTCCAGCAACCTTACAGCGAGTGGAAAAGCTGGCCGTAGAAAGTTTAGATCCCCCTGACATCCAGGAGCTGATTGAAAACTTGGGCGGCTGGTCGGGAAATGACGTGGCTCGGATTCTCTCGCTCCTCGCCTTTCGTCAATCGGTGCTCAAGTTTTCTAGTAAAGCTGCTAAAACTGACTTAGATTTCACCATCTCTGACATGTTGTCGCACTTTACCCTGTACTACACTCACCTGGTCAAGAAGAACAACGCCGAAATTTACGAGAAGCTTCCCATTGAAATCATTCTGATGGACGGAAGCGGAAGTGTAGAGAAGCCTAACGGCGACACCAGATACGTTTCACTTGATCGACTGTCGCAGTACCTCTTTAATGGCATTTTCGCCGGCAACAGCTCTCAGCTGGGCTATCTGTTAGGTGAGGCCTGTATCTACCCATCCAACTTGTTGCTGCTTCTCTTCACCTCGTGGTTGCATTCCTCTTACTCCATTCACTGGCGATGCTGGGAGAACCTGTCGCAAGCACTTTTCAAAATTGTCGACATTATGAACAATATCCGGCAGAGTGAGGAGAACTCAGAGGAGAACTTGCTTTTTGATCCAACGGGCATGGACGACCGTTTGCTTGCTCCTAGCTGGACGGACATTATTGAATTGATCTACAAGTCGACGAACATCACCTCGGCGCTGATAGCCGTCAACATGATCAAGTCGCTGATTAACAAGTTTAAGCTCAATGCACGTGACATCTCCGAGCTGAACTCGGTCACTCAGGTTGACGGCGAGGAGGAGCCGCCCATTACCACTAGCCCTAGCGCAGCTGACATTCAGTCAATGCACAGCATCATTTCCTCCGATAACGAATGGGAGACGCTGCACATGGACAAGGAGAACCTCAGCCTGCTGACGAAGCAGCTGGAAGATCTCTTTCTACTGGACATGCTGCTCAAGTCGAACTTGTGTTCTCTCGAGGAGGAGGAGCAACCGGAGCAACCAAAAGTGGGCGCCAATGGCTCGCCTGTTCGCTTCAACTCCATATCGCTCTCCTTCATTCTCTCCAGTGGCCCGGGAATTGTGTCGGAAATTGTCGCTCGATGGGCAATTCGCCACAAAGTGCCTCCAGAGCTGTTGATCTGCTCGCCCAGTGCCGACGCCAGCACTCTCGACGGTCAGGATGACTCGGAGGTTACAGTCGCCGATGAGTCGGCGACACTCAAGAGGTACGGATGTTGTTTTGTGTTGCAATAACTTTGCAGTTTTTAGCTGTAACATTTATTCCTTTATTTTTTAGAACCGTTGAAAGAAGCACTACAGCGGTGACTGATATGGCAGATCTGTCAGCTCGCTCAACGCTGATGGAAATACTGGACCACGTTCGTCAGCGCTTTCCCAATTGCCTTGAATCGGACATTCTTCTCATAAACTGCTGCTGGGAGCTACTTCTTCAGTGGAACGCCAAGCCGCTGATTCTCAGCAGTGATCTGTTCTTGACGCTGAGTTACCTGGAGAAGGTTTCCAGTTCAGTGTTGAAGCACAATGTTGCCTGCATGGGCTGGCGACTCTTCATTCAAAAGCGTTTTGAGGTTCTCTGCAATTTAATTGAGAAGATGGGCAAAAAGCCTAAAGATCGAATCTGTCGGAAGGAATTGGAAATGGGTAAACTCTTTTTACAGTACACTAATGATAAACAAATATTACAACTGATCTCTGTTTTGTTTTGACAGATGAAAATACACTGGAAAACTTTTCAGTTTACTGCTGCGATTTACTAGATTTTCTGATCAAGACTAGCTTCTCCTGGGAAACCGAGCCTTTGCCGCTGTATCAGCTTGACGACTGGTGGACTCACTTTAACTCTTCAGCACAGTACGGCAGCCATTACGTTGATGTGGAGCCGCCCAAGACCACTTTATTTCAAACACTGGAGCAGCACTCACTGCAAAACGCCAAAATTCAGCTAAATCCTGAACAGTTTCCCTCCAACAATGTGCCTTTAGCTGTGATGGCCATGCACCAGAAGGTGGCCAATACTGACTTGCTGGTGGAGTACTTTCACCTGGCCCTGTCAGTTCAGTTCACCGTCACCTTTTCGCTCAGAAATGTTCGCCCCCTGTCACTCTTTTCTTCATCGGTTCGGGCTTACTTTTTCAAGGACCTTTTCTCCTTTTTGCGCCCCTCTTCCAGCTCATCTGAATCCAGTCATGTGCCCGTTGACCCTGAACTTTGTGATATTCGAAACAAATTTTTATTTAACGTAATTAGGGCAATTGTGCAAACGTTACCAGTCTACAGAAACGGTATGGGAAGATTGTTGACCTATTCTCTATAAACTCTATTACCCCCTTTTTAACAGAGGAAGATCGCAACGAAGGACTCAAGTTTTACCAAACTGCTAATATGTGGTTTGCAAAGGTTATTCACATCACTCGAGAATGGTATCTGAATGTGGACCGGATTCGACTTCGCTATGTTTATGACTTATTTTTGTTTGGATGCGATCCATTGGCCGAAGAAGTAATTCATAGTCGTTGGTTTTATGTCATTTTGCTGAAACTTTTTTTACTTACAGTTGATGGCAACAGTATCGGACGTCAGAGGCCTTGGTCGTCAGCTTCTGATCATTGCAGGACTGCGAACAACGCATATTCTAAATACAAAGTTTGGCTCTCTGGATGAAATATCCTTTGTGCCTCCGAATATTCTCTCTTGGCTAAAGCATCTGGTAAGAGAATGTCTTTTTCCCTTGGACCGATTGTTAATTAACTTTTTTCAACACGCACTCATCTAGACGACTGACCCAAATCTCAATCCAGACTGTCCAACTTCAGCCACCGTTCTTTTGCTGGAGCATATCGGTAACTTTCTTCACGATGACGATGCTAATTACCGAATTTGCCAAGAGCTATTGTCAGCGATTAAGCATGCACAGTAATTTTACAAAATGTGTCATGAATGGTGCTTATAAAAAGAAACACAGCTTGAAAATTTAAAAAATAATTATATTTTAATTTCATTCTTCGGTTTTCAGGGTTTTCTAATTATCACAAGCACTCTATTAATTACTTTAATGAGGCGCATACTGGTTTGTGTGTGTGGGTGTTTTGAAATGCCATTGGTGCGTGTACAGTACTTGTCAGTACTAAACTGTAAACTGCCGTTTTTATTTGAATAGAATTGCCTTCAAGTCAGTCATAAATACAGTCAGTTAGTCTGTCATCACGAAAACGGACGGGCAGCAGGCGACCATAAATCAACATCGAATCAAAAAATACTTATTCCAAGCTTCTTTCTCTTCTTCTTCTGCCATGAATGAATCCACATGAATGCACTGAGCCATTTTAGCCGGTTTACTTGCGCCAGCAGTTTCTGCACCGGCATCGTTTCAGTGCTTCTGGTTACTTCAATTTGCCTAAAGCAGCCATTATTATTAATAACTATCACCACCGGCTTTTAGGTCCCTTCTCGTGCGTTCCTTTTTACAGTCCATCAAATATTTATTAAACAGCGTTAATTTATCGCCTATACAATTAGCTCAAAAACCGACGACACCACTGCATGCATGCGAGGTGGTTGTGTGTGTGTACGTGTGTTTCTGAACTCCTTGCAGTGCAGCAGTCAGCTTTACTGGTTTTGGAAACTGGAGGGACGTTTTTTCTTTTTCACCAGTTTCTGCTCTAATTACTAATCGCCTTCTATTAGCTCTACTATTTCGCCATCACAGAATCTAAAGAAGCAGGCGTGCTGCTGTACACGCCGAATTCGATCCCTTGTTTGCACCGGTGAGTAATGTTCACTTGCTGCCCGGGTCGCAATTTTCTAGTTCCCATTACCCGTTTGCCCCTTTTCATTTGACACTGTTTGAAAAATAATTTAGACAGACAAAAACAGAAAGCAACGTTGTTTTTCACTTTTTTCTGGCCACTGAATTTTTTTTACTGAATTTCAACCACTGGTTTCAAAAACCTTCACTTTCTGTTTGGTCTCGTGTCATTGTGGAATTTCCAGCAGCAGCAGCAGTCGCAAATCAGTTTGTCATTTTTCCCAGTGTACAACCTTAGCCTTAGTGTCAGTGCCATTAATAATTCATTTACAATCGTAAAGGCAATCTCGTCTTTGCTAATCTTCCTCTTTTTTATGNAATTTGCCTAAAGCAGCCATTATTATTAATAACTATCACCACCGGCTTTTAGGTCCCTTCTCGTGCGTTCCTTTTTACAGTCCATCAAATATTTATTAAACAGCGTTAATTTATCGCCTATACAATTAGCTCAAAAACCGACGACACCACTGCATGCATGCGAGGTGGTTGTGTGTGTGTACGTGTGTTTCTGAACTCCTTGCAGTGCAGCAGTCAGCTTTACTGGTTTTGGAAACTGGAGGGACGTTTTTTCTTTTTCACCAGTTTCTGCTCTAATTACTAATCGCCTTCTATTAGCTCTACTATTTCGCCATCACAGAATCTAAAGAAGCAGGCGTGCTGCTGTACACGCCGAATTCGATCCCTTGTTTGCACCGGTGAGTAATGTTCACTTGCTGCCCGGGTCGCAATTTTCTAGTTCCCATTACCCGTTTGCCCCTTTTCATTTGACACTGTTTGAAAAATAATTTAGACAGACAAAAACAGAAAGCAACGTTGTTTTTCACTTTTTTCTGGCCACTGAATTTTTTTTACTGAATTTCAACCACTGGTTTCAAAAACCTTCACTTTCTGTTTGGTCTCGTGTCATTGTGGAATTTCCAGCAGCAGCAACAGTCGCAAATCAGTTTGTCATTTTTCCCAGTGTACAACCTTAGCCTTAGTGTCAGTGCCATTAATAATTCATTTACAATCGTAAAGGCAATCTCGTTTTTGCTAATCTTCCTTTTTTTATTAGTGCGGCCGTTACGTTTTTTCTTTTTTGCTGTCAGTTCTGTTTACTTTCACTGCCAGGAGAATGTGTGTCCCAAAGTCGAATGACCCACCAATTGATCTTTCAAGTATTTATCGCCGTCAATTTGAGTCGGTCTGTCTGTCTGTTTGTTGGGTTTGTTTGTTTGCTTGATTCACCATTTTTTTTGCTGCACTGCAGTTTTCGATTTTCCCTCTGTTCCATCTGTTTCCATTCAGTACTCTTTATTTTCACTGCCAAGTGGTCATCAAATGTGCCCCTTCAATAAGATGCAGCCGGAAGACTGCCAGTCTAAAATCTTTTTTGCAATCGTCATCTTTCTTTCCTTTTCATCGCCCTCTACTTCCGGAGAATCATTTTCAACCATATAAAAGCCACTTTAAAGCTTTTTTCCAATTTTTACCGTATCATTAGTCTAAATCAGACTGAGAAGTGGAAAAGGTTTCGATCAGAGCACTGAACTGTCGCCCTTGGCCGCCCAATTATGGCACTGCATGATTCGACTGCATCACTTGCCGCTTCTCCGAAGACTCTACCAGTTCTTCAGCGGTCCTCTTTAACCCTGTTGTTTCAGTTCTCAATAATTGCTAATTGACTTGGCTGTCTCTGTTGACATTTGCCCACTCTTCTACTCAGCCATGTCATCACACAAGCCACGGGCATCATCATCTGTCTGCCTTTCAGTCCGTCCGTCTGCCCTGTGCATCTTGTCTCTCTGTGTTCCTTTCAGAGACGGTCCAATTGAGGACTTTTTTGAACAGTGCGGACAACTTCTTCATCTCCCTCTCCTTCTCTTTTTTTGTAGTTGTGTTTGTTTGTTATATTTTCCCATGTTGTTATTCATGTCGACAAGTTGTGNTCTCTCTCTCTCTCTCTCTCTCTCTCTCTCTCTCTCTCTCTCTCTGTGTGTGTTCCTTTCAGAGACGGTCCAATTGAGGACTTCTTTGAACAGTGCGGACAACTTCTTCATCTCCCTCTCCTTCTCTTTTTCTTTGTAGTTGTGTTTGTTTGTTATATTTTCCCATGTTGTTATTCATGTCGACAAGTTGTGGCTGTGAGCAAACAACACTCATTCGCAACACATTCAATCATTTGCTTTGGCAGTCCGACCGACAGACACGACACACACATACACACAGTGTATCGACTGGTGGCAGACGCTAATGGCGAAATGCTGGTGCCTCCCCTCACTCCCTTCTTCCCTTCCCTCCCTTCCCTTTCGCTCCCTTTTAGTTTACCCCGCTAATGGATCCGTTCGCTGATGTTTCCGCCTCTGTACTTCTGCTGCTGTTGCTGCTGTTGCGGCTGTTGCGGCTTCTTCTTTTTCTTTGTCGATTCTTAAATTGTTCAGCAGCTCTGTGAGTGGTACTTTGCTCAAATGGTCAGTTTTATTGTGCCTGCTAGCACTCTCTGAGCGGGATCTATTGCCAATTTTCTATTTTTGCCAAAAAATGATTTATTTCTCAATTTTCAGTGNCTTCTTC